TCCTAGATAAAAAAAAAAAAAAAGGTATCAGTTTCCACAAATATATTAAGCAGCAACTGTTTTCAACATTGATAGTAAAAGGTAATGTTTTTAAGCACTAAATAATCATATCAGAATGATTTCTGAAGGATCATATGACACCAGTGGAGTAATGACTGCCGGAAATTCAGCTTTCCCTTTATAGAAACAAATTACACTTTAAAATACATCAAAATAGAAAACAGTTAGTTTAAATTGTAATATTATTTTACAATATTACTATATTTTTGATCAAATAAATGCAGCCTTGTTGAGTTTAACTTCTTAAAAAAGTGTCATTTAAAAAAGTGTCATTAATATACAATACTAAATCAGATATTACATTTAAAATAGTGTTTTGACAATTTAGATGAATGATTAAATAACCCATGACAGACAAATCAGATTCTAGTCAGAATCCCAGTAAAAGAGATTCATCTGAAAGGTAAATTTATTCTGACTATCTATATCTAATCCTATGCATAGTTCATGAACCCACTATTTGTCAATTACCCATTATCTAGTAGTCTATTATGGTAGAAAACAGCAGATTACATTTTAAAGTTTTCATTTAAAATATGTATCCAACCCTCAGATTCTCTCTTAGATGAACTGCTTCTATGAATTGTTCTCATTTGTCAGTCACTTCGGATAAAGTCTGCTAAATGCTAATGTAAACGCCAACGCAGTGTGTCCCTGTCTCACCTCTCCAGATGTGAGGTAGGAGAAGGAGTTGGTGTTGAAAAGCTGTAGAAGAGTGTGAGGAGGCACACAGCTGCCCACCCAAAGGAGCAGTGCCAGTGGGCAGTAGATCAGATACAGACCCCCTGGATCCAGACTAGAGACAGTACAGCGCACGGCTTCCCCTAATGATGGCATGTTGGCATTATCAGCAGAGACAGACTGCAGGGGTGAGAAGGGTAAACACAGAGACAGTGGCGTCATCATCCAGTCAGGAGAGAAAGCATCAATATTTTAGGAAGTTTGAGTTGGACTTAAATGTGACATGGATTTTTCTTGCTCTTTTTTAAGTTTGGTGTACTATGCAGAAAAAACTTTCATGGCTTTAAGCTCCCATTCAAGTCAAAAAAGACTACTACAAAGACTACTACTTTTAAAAGTACTGTACTGTACCTTAAAGGTACAGTCGCCTGTTTTTATTGGTTTTGACACTATTGGTTTAAAATTTAGTCTATTTAAGACCTTTTCAACTCAGACTGGCTTACTACATTTAAAAACGGAATGTGAACTGAATTATATATATATATATATATATATATAATTACCAACCAATAAGCTGGTGGTTATTTTCTTGCTATGGTCAATAACCAAGAAATGGCAGATGATAGATAACATTTATACTATTTATACAATTTCTAATATCTAAATAAATTAGGAATACAACTTTAAAACTAAAATTAACCATTTTAAATGCTGTTCACTTAAATAAAAGTTTGATTAACTTTAGGTAAGCATTATATGACAACAAAAGGGAATAAAAATATTTATCACATATTCATAAATAAAAATAAAAAAATTCTAATATCAGCCAGCATTCAATGTGGTACTAATATACTGTGCATTCCTAATTATAACTGTCTTTGGTGCCAGAAATCTTGACATAATAAGTAAAAAATAAAATGCTATAAATAGAGAGTGAGAGTACAGTAGATGCATTTATTGCTAGAGTAGTGAAGAATGTGGCATCTCTCAATTCTGCCATGTGCATAACAATCCAACTGAGAATTATGAATTCTTACAGACAAGGAAACGGTCTCATTTCAGTGACTAATTTGGATGAACAGAATGTTCTAGATGTCTGTCTCTCACCAGAGGCAGAATAAGTGGGTAGAACTGAGAAGCAGTGCTCAGCGTGTCCATGGAGACAATGAGGCTACGCAGTTGTAGACGCTGATGTACAGAGCTCCACAGCCCAGGCAGCAGCACTTCACTTTTGCGCAGACTGTTAATGTAGACAGGTACGGCTTTCAGAAACTGAGGCAGCACCAGCTGACAGAAAGAAAGACACACACACACACACAGAGAAAGAGACAAAGAGATATTTAAAAAATGTACAAATGCAATAAAAATATCGGTATCAGTACGCGGTATCGGCAAGTGCCAAAAATAAAAGTATCGTATCGGGCGAGTACTGGAAAAAGTGGTATCGGTGCATCCCTAATCCAAATGAAATAGGAATCTCTTAGAATGGCTTCTTAGTATTGTTATCTGTGCCTGCATCATTAATAGGCTAACGAATCGTAAAATAAATTGAGAGTGGAGTAACAGACTGTCTGTCATCTCCTAAAAATGCTTTTTCCCCTAAATACTAGAAGACTTCACGGGCCTAAAATATCTGATTAAGCTCTAATTACACAACTTGCTAATAACTGTATAGGGCTTTTTGCACAAAAAAGGCAATGTCTATTTATTTAAGCAATTAAAAATTAATTGGACTGAAAACGGCGGGACCTTACTTTTTAATTGGTATCTCCAAATCATGGTTTAATATTTCTAAATTATTGCTTCATCTGAAACTGTATGATAAATCTCTAGAGTATCCGAATATTCAAAAGGGTCCAGTGCTGGTCCAGTACCTTATGAGAGATCCTCATTAAAGAGAGAGAACTACATGAAGAACGCACCTGTCCTGGGGACACAGAGGTAGTGCAGCTTTGTTTCCTGAAGCAAGCCAACATCTCAGTAACCTCCGTCTGTAACTCCTCACGCAGGGACTGCAGCGGACTCTCCAGTGCTAATGAATACACTGACTCACACACAAGGACAAAATAAAGTTAGAAATATTATAAAGTCAAAATATCCAAATTGAAGTAAAACAAGGAAGACGGCTCAGTGCAATAAAACAACTGATTATGCACTGCTAATTATGATAAGTGATTATATAAGCAAATTCCTGTAAAAATATTATTGTATTTATATTATATATTATATGTACACTACCGTTCAAAAGTTTGGGGTTGGAAAGATTTTTGAAAGACGGCTCTTATGCTCACCAAGGCTATATCCATTTGATCAAAGATTCAGTAAAAACAGTAATATTGTGAAATATAACCACAATTTTCAAAAATGTTTTGCATATTAATATATTTTGAAATGCAATTTATTGAATTTTCAGCATCATTACTACAGTCTTCAGTGTCACATGATCCTTCAGAAATCATTCTGATATGCTGATTTGGTGCTCAACATTTTTTTTTTTATCAATATCAGTGTTGAATATAGTTGTGCTGCTTAATATTTTTATAGAAACAGTGATTTTTTTGATGAATAGGAAGTAACAGCATTTATTCGAATAGAAGTCTGTGGCGAGGGGGGCGTGGTTCAGCGAGGTCTGCATCGGGAGAGAGAGGCAGGAGACGAGCGGTGCGTAAGTAGGTCAAGCGCAAATGATAAACACCTGTGTCTCGTTTCAGTAATTGGTGTGGAGAGACTGGATAAAAGGGGCCACCTGGAACATGGATGGGGGAGAGACTGACTGGGAACGTGAGCCACACGGGGAGACGGGTCATAGAAGCATGAAAGCATATGTCAAGTTGTGTTGTTGACTGCGAGTTTGGAAGCGCTGAGGGAGTGCCGTTTTCTGTTGTGTGCACCGAGAACTCTAAATAAAGCTTGCGTCCCAGCAAGCCGACCCTGTCTTCTTCCTTCCACCCTATTGAACCATATCACACTGGTGCCGAAACCCGGGAAGGAAGAAGAACGCCGTCGCCGTCATGCAGTCCCCGCCAGGATCGCCATTTGCGGAGGTCCTCATCCAAGCCCAGCAGGAAGACCGCGAGCTGTTCCGGAGCTGGATTGACCGGGAGGTTCGGGCTGGGGGACCGACATCTGCCCCAGCACCACCCCCCCATGTGCCTCTCCACAAGATGGGGCCCCAGGACGACCCGGAGGTGTTCCTGGACCTGTTTGAGAGGTCGGCAGAGGCCGGGGGGTGGCCCGAGGAGGACTGGCCAGTGCGGCTCATTCCCCTGCTGTCTGGGGAAGCACAGGTGGCCGCACAACACCTGCCAGTCCAGAACCTCCTGGTCTACAAAGACCTCAAGCGCGCCATCCTCCAGCGGGTCGGCCGGAGCCCCGAGCAGCATCGCCAGCGCTTCAGGTCGCTGGACCTCGGAGAGGGGGGCCGACCCTTCGTGATGGCGCAACAGCTCCGGGACGCCTGCTGCAGATGGCTGATGGCCGACACGAGCGACGTCGAGGAAATGATCGATCGAGTGGTACTGGAGCAGTTCGTGGCACGGCTGCCGAGGAAGACTGTCCAGTGGGTCCAGTGCCACCGCCCGACGTCGCTGAACCAGGCCATTCAACTGGCGGAGGACCAGATGGTGGCGTGCCCCGGGGTCGGCGAACCCCTGCCATCTGTCTCTCTCTCCCGATGCAGACCTCGCTGAACCACGCCCCCCTCGCCACAAAGTCATTTGAAACAATGTCTTTACTTTTAAACAATTCAGTGCATCCTTACTGAATAAAAGTAATATTTCTCTAAAAAATGACCCATAACTTTTAAACAGTAGTGAATATATTACGTATTTTATTAAAAAAGTAAGTAAAGGATAAGGTCAAATTTGATTTCATATTGGTATTTGACTCATATTAATATTTTTTTTTATACATTTCTTGCAGTAGAATGTGAGGAGCGTCTCGGCCTGGCTGCTTCTAAAGGTGTCTAGCGGTTGACTGGAAGCGGACAGAATAACGGTGTGTATCCGTGTCCTGTTCTCTCCGGAGGAGCTACTGTATGACAGCACAAACTACACACGCAGATGAGAAGACAATCAAACCAATATATTAAATGAACAACACATCAAATTATTTATCATATCCATTACTCTCAGATAAGTGTCATTTATCAAAATATGAGACTGACTAATATGATTTGTTATATCATCACATCAATACTACCTGTATGGCTACACCCCTCGTTTCATCCAAAGACTTGTTGTGAGTGAACTCAAATGCCAGAGCTGTGTGCCAATCAAGCGCTGCCATGGCAACACAGCAGGAGTCAGGACCGGCGATGAAGGAGCCATAGCAACCAGATATGCGCATCTCTGCAGAAACACAGCGACTGAGCTGTTAATATACCCACCAGCAATTTACAAATAACATCTGGCACTCATGCATCGAAATTCAAGTTACAAACAAGTGACTATCCATTGAAGTACTCAAATGATTTGATACTTGACAGATTGTTTTATATATATAGACTATGACATATATGTGACCTTGGACCACAAAACCAGTCATAAGGGTCAATTTTTTTCGAAATTGAGATGTATACATCATCTGAAAGCTGAATAAATAAGCTTTTCATTGATGTATGGTTTGTTAGGGTAGGACAATATTTGGCCGAGATACAACTATTTGACAATCTGGAATCTGAGGGTGCAAAAAAAATCAAAATATTGAGAAAATCGCCTTTAAAGTTGTCCAAATTAAGTTCTTAGCAATGCATATTACTAATCAAAAATTAAGTTTTAATATATTTACGGTAGGAAATTTACAAAATATCTTCATGGAACATGATCTTTACTTAATATCCTAATGATTTTTGGCACAAAAGAAAAATCGTTAATTTTGACCCATACAATGTATTTTTGGCTATTGCTACAAATATACCCCAGCGACTTAAGACTGGTTTTGTGCTCCAGGGTCACATATATGTATACTCTGTCTAATTTGATTACATTTCAAAAAATGAATTCAAAGCTAAACTACAGTTTTAACGTTTAGTTGGTAATAACATTCTTAGCTCCTCTCTGTCTTAGAATCTGGGTTTCTAGATTCTTTTATACGCCCCTTTGATTACCTTTAGTGACAAAAACTCTGAGCTGAACTTTGAAGGCCATCTGCATATCCACACATCTGCTCAGATCAGCTCGGAAGCGTTCCTGTTCCATCTCCGACTGCAAAGAAAAGTACATGGAAAGATTTAGTATGAAATGACACAGTTTGTTCACACTACATTAAATATGGTTGTCACTCTTCTTTTGAGTGCTTAATCTGGTTCTCTTCACACAGCAGGAAGTGGACAGAATAAAGTGTGCATCTGTGTCCTAGTTTAGTTATTTATAGAAGTGACAACCACATTCTGAAAACGTCACTCCTGAAAAATTCACTCTGATTACAATAAATCCACATAGTGTAACGTCGCTTTCTTTAAGACATTGACAGTTTGTTACTAAAAGTCAATGAAAAACCTAAAAATGATGACTGGTTTTGCTTACGAGGAAAAAGAAAAACATAAACAAAGATAGAAATAAAAGAATATGCGACAATCGCATTACACAAAACAAGACATCTGACAGGTTGCTAGTAGTCAACATGAGAGTATTATACTGAACATGAGAGTATAATACTTAGGGCCCTATGAAATCCATTTTATTTTTTCCCAAATTCCGTTTTATTATTTTCCAAATTCAAAAAAATTGTTTAAATTTTTCTGGATTTTTTTTTTTTCAGTTAAATTTTTTTAGACTCTGTTTAAATAGTTAAATAAAATGAATCAAAAAGCATGTGTAATTAATTGAAATCATGAAATACATAATTTAACAATAATTTATTAAACGTTTAACAAAAAATATTTTTTAAGGCCCTATGAAATACGTTTTATTTTTTTTCCTCAAATGCAGGTTTATTTTTACCAAATTCTGTTTTCCATTAATTTTCTGGATTCCATTTTCATAAAATTTTTATAATCAAAAGTATGCCTAATTAATTAATTTTATTTAAAAAATATTATTTTATTTTATTTATTTATTTATTTATTTTTCAGAAATACTTGCATTTGAATGCATTTAAATTCTGGTAAATTTTCCTGGTAAATATTCCTTAAAAAAGAATGTTTTAATAATAATTTTATTATTAGTAGTAGCACTATCATTAAATTAAGTAATATATTTCTGTTACAGTTTCTTCAAGTTAAACTTAACTTTTATTTTGACGGGTTGCTGTGAAGACCTTTGGTTTCTGTTAGTATATATGACAATAATTTTTTCTCAAAAGAAATGCTAAAATGCTCATAAAGTGACTCTCAGAGCAGTTCTAGAGATTATGTTAATGTGTTCATGTACTCATATCGAGGCGGCAGAGGTTGGAAAAACATACTTCAGTATGTAGTAAATGAAACCGCATGTCTACGCCATTCTTTCACACAAACACGCAGAGCAAACAGGATCAGGCCAGGCGCCAGGACGCACGACTTGGGGGGGGGCTTTTATATTTATTGAGGGGGCCGAACCGGGGTGGGGGGGTGTTGGTGGCATGGGTTGCGCTTAGTTTCACGAATGCTCAAAATACATTATTTGGGTAACACTTTACAATAATTAACTAACACTTTACAACAGTGTGTCGTGCGAGAGTCAATGAAAATGGAAAGGGTGACCTCTGATGGCTAGCAGACGGAAGTTCATGGACCGGATACGTAACACCGCGCTACTTGTTTAAACTGCGCAGCGCTTATAGAATGTAGAGCCTGGTTTATAATACTCGCCGCGTCAGGAGCGCGAAGCTGCGTGCAGCAAAAATGACGCGAATATTGATTAAACGATTGATGGGTTTCATGCTAAATTAAAGTAAAAGATCGCTTCTTAAACCAAAGGTGAACATGTTGGTATTCTTGTGGGGGAAAAAACATGCAAACACTGTCACCGACAGCAAGTTTAGTTTTAATTTCTTTTTGTTTTCATTTTGAAAAGCTTGTTTTCTTTGCTGTTTACCTCACGTTATGCTATGGAAGCTCTCTTTTTTATTTATTTGATTCCTCAGTGTTTGCTAAATGTTCTGTAATTTATTAGTCGGTATATAATACAGCATGCGGTGTATGCCATGCCTCGTCTTATTCGTTTTTGTTAAACGTTTTGTAAGCTAGTTTGTCATTGTATCTTACTGTTTTATTGTTGTTATGCTTTTTAATTAAGAATAACAATGAATCCATCTTTTGTTTTAGTCTTAAAAAATGAAAGGTGTGTAGATGTATATCCGAGCAAAAGATAAACTCCCGTTCACAAAATTCAAATCA